ATGGGATGGACTGAAGACAGACGGCTACAGTGACTCAAAACAGCTATTAAGAGGTCGGTTCTGGGTTGGGCAGTGTTCTTCTGCTGTCCTAATAGGGTCGCTCTGAGTTGGAACTGACTCAATGGGATCTAACAACAACAACAACAACTGTGTATTTTGTGCATCTGGAATTAACTGGAATATAGCTGTTAAGAATAGATCTCTTGCTCCTATTCTCATTCTTAGCTTCCAGATCCACTTGCTTTATTGTGGGCTTTTCAAGGGTGGTGGTGGTGGTGTCTGCGTGCCACTGAGTTGGTTCTGACTCATAGAGACCCTGTACAGGGTTTCTGAGGCTGTAAATCTTTATGGGAGATTTACATCTTTCTTCTTCGGAGCGACTGGTAGATTTGAACTACTGACCTTACACTTAGCAGCCCAGCTCATAATCTAGGACTCCTCTCAAGGGTGAGGATGGTTCTAATTATCTTAGAAGTCAAGTGATCTGTGGCTTAAAGTAAGAGCACAGATGTTTGTGAACCACACACACACAAAAATCACTTATACAAAAAAAGCACATCAGAAATGTAGGTTAAAGGAAACAGCTCAAATACCCTCAGAATATGCTCCATTGTGGCTGCAGGTTGAATCTATGATAGCAGTTGCCTGTAACAGAGCTGGTGACCCAAAGTGGCAAGAGCTCAACCTTCATTAGCTGGGAACAACCCAGGCAGGGAAGAAAGCAAAGGATCACATTTTAGAAACAGTTCCAACAACAAGGGTTTGTGTTACCTTTGCAATTAAAGTGACTCAAACACCTTACATTTCCAAGAAATCCAATGATTTGGGATTCAATTATAATCTGCATGTCTATTTTCTGCTCTTTAATTAGCTTGATGATAGAACAAGGGGAACTGAGAGCTGATTTCGTGTTGGAAACCAGATTTGATTGAAATTTGAAATTCAAACCAGTGGAATAATTGCAAAGCTAAACTTCAGTGATCAAATTTTCCATTTGACAGCAATGATTTTGAAATGTAAGGGAGTCTTAGATGGGAGTTAGAAAGAACTTTAAAGAGAAAGTCTTGAACACCTTTAAAAGGAGCTTTAGTGACTAGGGTTTCAAAGACTTGTGAGTAGCCATCTGAGGTGTAACTATTGGTCTGTCCCCATCTGGAGGAAACAAGAGAGAAGAAAATCAAAGATACACGGATAACAACTAGTCCAAGAGAATAATGGGCAAGAAGGACCTGAGTCTCCACAACCCTGAAACCAGAACTACATGGTGCCTGGCCACCACTGCTGACGTTTTGCAGGGGACCACATTAGATCATCCTGGATAGAGCGGGAGAAAATTGTGAAACAAAACTCAAACTCTAAAAAAATGACCAGTCTTACTGGGCTTATACAGACTGGTGGATCCTCCAAGACAATAACCCTCAGTCACCCTTCAGGTCTGGGAAGAACCCACCCTCGTGGCTCAATATTCAGCCAAACAATAGATGTATACAGGGAACAGTAACACTAGGGAGGGTGTATACCTTAGAATAATCTGTCATTTGAAACCAAAATGGCAGTATTGATTGAGCCAAGGACAAAGTTCAGAAGGTTGGGGAAAGAAGGAAGAATGGAAACAGGAAACACAGGGAGGAAGTAGGATGAGTGAGGTTACATTGTAGGCATTGCATTCAATGAGTTGAAACAAAATGTGTGTGAATTGTTGAGTGGAAAACCGATGATCTGCTCTGTAAACCTTCACCCAATTCTCCATGCTGTGCTGTTGCTGCAAAGTCGGTTCCGACTCACAGTGACTCTATATAAGGTTTCTGAGGAGCAGTGTGTGGGTTTGAACTGACAACAATTAGGTTAGCAGTCCAGTGCTTATCCTACAGTGCCACACCAGGACACCGATTCTCAGTACAAAGTTAAAAAAAAAGAAATGGTGGAAAAAGTCCATTATCTTTCATTCCAGGTTCTTTATGACTTTATTGTATCAAAACCCTCTACCCGCGTATCAGTTTGTCATACTACTACGGTGGCTTGCACGTTACTGTGATGCAGGTGCTACGTCACTGGTAAATTCATGGTAGACAATCTCCAGTGGAACTTCCAGACTAAAGCAGACACGGAAGAAAGACTTGAAGATCTGTTTGTGAAAACTAGCCCCTGAAAGCGCTGCAGGTCAGTAACAGGCTATATTGTCCAGTATGGCACTAGAAGATGAGCCCGCTGGGTTGGAATGCAACATTGGGCTCAAGCATGCTGCTGATATGGAGATGGTACAGGACTGTGCTTACAGGAATCACAGAGTCAGAGCTGAGGGCAACTAACAACAGCAATACGGTAACACCTGAGAGAGTGGAAGCCCGTGTAAGGTGGAAACCTGTCACAGAAGGAAAAGTCAAGCGATAGAGTGAGGTAAGACTGCTCTCTGTCCAAAATGCAATCTGTGAGAGAACCAGAAAAATATGGCCAACTCCTCAAGCTTGGGCTCTCAGGTTTCACTGCATATAAAATGCTTTGAAAACACTGGCATTAGGATGCTTTATTGTAAATGCATTTTTGTAAATGCGTTTAAAACTCATCAACCATGCCATCAAAATTGCTGAGGTACACGGGGACTTTGAAAACACTCCTTCTTTCATGCAGAAAGGGCACTTCACTCGGAGCTTCTCCTCCAAAGAAAGTCTTACCGGCGGGTGCAGATGTAGGTTTGGGTGCGGGAAGCAAACTCCTGCGGGGTGTGGTCGCACTGGAGGGTGCTGGGGCTGCCGCCCGGCTGGCCTTGGGTGTGTCTTTGGAAGGCAGAGCTGCCTTCAGAGCCGGCTGCTCTTCATTTCCAAAGGTTGAACCTGTGGGAGACAGACAGCAAGGTAAGCATGTCTTCATAAAAAAGACAATTTCTGACCAATCATAAGGCATCTATAATCCCATTCCAACCCATCATAAGGTGTCTATAATCCCAGTCCAAGCTGGACCTGACTGTGAGCAGGTGGCCTTGGAAAGTATTTCTCTGGAAATGGATGTATCAATGCCTGTCACTCAAGTCCCTGCATGGGAGCTGAGAGGACACACACACACCAGGTACACATACATATACTCATGCACACTACATACATATAACACATATACGTATAACACACACAGGCACAACACACAACAGAACACACAGAACCATACACACAACACACACAGCACATACATATAACACACAGGCATGCCACACAGCACACCACACAACACATACATGTAACACATGCACACCACATACACATATCAAACACACCATACACACACTATACACCAAACATGCATGCAACACATAGGCATATCACACACATACAACATGCAACACACACCACATACAAATAACACACATGGGCACATCACATATACACAACACACACCACATATACACAACACACACCATACACACATAACATGGTACCCACATGCATATAAAATGCGCATGCACACCACATACATATATCAAACACACAACATGCATATAACACACCACACAATAACACAACAACCACACACCACAACATGTAACATACGCATACCACCATATTACACATGCACACCACATACACATACCAAACACACCACATACCATATGCACATAACACACAAGCACACCACATACAAATAACATGACATACACACACACACATAACACATATATGCACATCGTATATATAAAAAACACAACACACACAACATACACACAGCACACACCACACAATATAACACAATACTTATAGAGCACATGCATATAAAACACCACACAGACACATGCGTGCACACCACACACAACACACCCCACCTACACATAACACACCACACACATGCATACCACACATCAAACATAACACATACACACCATATACATATAGCACACACAGGCACACCACATACATACAACATATTGTCAGGAGGGACCAGTTGCTGGAGAAGGATATCGTGTTTGATAGATTGGAGGGTCAGAGAAGAGGAAGACCCCCAGTGAGATGGATTGGCAAAGTGGCAGCATCAATGGGCTCAAGCATGGCAACAATAGTGAGGTTGGCCCAGGACCAGGCAGTGTTTCGTTTTGTTGTTATACAGGGTCGCTATGAGTTGGTACCAACTCGATGGCATCTAACAACAATAACAAATCACAACAGGACACTGCCTGGCCTCTTGCTTTGGGACAAGTCTCCAAGAGGAATTAATCTCTGGAGGAGGACACCGTGTTTGGTGAAGTGGCGGGCCGGGGAGGGAACCCGTCAATGAGGTGGACCAGTATGACAGCCACAGGAATAGCCTCAAAAGCGCTGGCACTCACGATGGTGATGTGGGACCAGCAGACCCTCTGTTCTGTTGTACCTGAGACCCCCAGGGGGCAGCTATTTACAGGGGAGGGGGGCGGGCTTCAAAAATTTGTGGGAAAATGGAGTTGAAAGATAATGGAATTTCCCCACCAACTCTCTGAAGCCCCCTCGCATCTCTCTAAACCAGGGTAGGGAACCTGTTTTTCTGCAAAGGGTTATTTGGACATTTATAACATCACTTAATACAAATTTTTGCCGCTATGAAAAAAGCTCCTAGATTATTGAATTTCGAGTCCTGCCTGAGGCTGCCTTGGCAGGGCCTGACCAAATGATTTCGCAGGCTTATACGGCCACGGCCCACGGGCTGGATGTTCCCCACCTCTTCTCTAAAGACTGTTAAGAGAACCAAGAACAAATACATTAAAATTCCACCAGAAAGCTCTGTACTGTATCCTGAATTTCAGATGAAAAAGCCATACACAGCTGATGTAAATCCAGTCATGGATAGGGACACCAGGAAATGCCAAACATTATCTTTGCTTCTCAGTGACAGAACAGCTCAGCAGTCCAGACTGGGAACTGAGATCTCTGGAGGTTTGTATGATGATTCAGTGTGGCAAGGAATGGCCACTCGAAATATTTCACCTGGAAGTATCTCCGGTCCAGCGCACTGCTCACAAACTTGCAGAATAATCTATTCACTGTAATGGGCAAGTACTGAACCAAACACAAGTCTTTCTGTTAGCAGTTAATTAACGTCGTAAGAAAGAAGAGTTCGTATCATTGGTGGAGTTCAAACGTCCTTTTATCAAACGTCTTCTGCCTGGCATTATTCTCTCGCGGTAAATTTATGATTCAGCAAACGTGTCCATTTAGAGAGCTGGCCTCTTTCCAGGAGGAGAAGCAATTCATCTGTTTGAAGTGTGAAGTGTCTGAAGAAGAAACCAAGTGCCTCCTTTGAGATAAGTCTTGAATAACAGAAAAATACTTGCTGTTGTTGTTAGGCGCCATCGAGTCGGTACCGACCCATAGCGACCTTATGCACAACAGAATGAAACACTGCCTGATCCTGGGCCAACCTCACTACTGTTGCCACACTTGAGTCTATCGCTAGGGGGCTTCAAAAAGTTTGTGGAAAACAATGGAATTAAAAGGTAATGGAATTACTTTTTCATAGACTTTTGGAAGCCCGCCGCATACAATATAATAAAATAACTCTATTCTTGTCCATTACTGTGGGATATAGCTGGTAGCCAGTGGTTTCACTCTTTGGAAACAGCTAACATTGGGCAGCAATTAAGGAAGCCTTGTTGAATGCACCAAAGCACACTGAATTTGGAAAGAAATGGCTGCTAGATTCTATAAGAGCCCTGGTGTGGCACTTTACAACTGCTAACCTCAGGGTCAGTGGTTCAAATCCACCAGCCACTCCTTGAAAACCCTGTACAGGGTCATTATGAGTTGGAACCCCTTGTACAGGGTCATTATGAGTTGGAACCCACTCAACAGCACTTAACAATAACAGCTTCTTTGAGTGTTTGAGGCACGTTACTGCAACACTTGGTGAGAGGAAGAGAACAACTGGAAGTAAGCACACTGTGCTGTGTGAGCCAGAAAGATGTTCTGGAGAATTCCACCAGTGACAATATTCCATGTCAGTGGGCTCCTGGTGTGGCGCTGCAGGCTCAGCACTGTATTGTGAACCACAAAGTTGGCTGTTCAAACCTACCAGCTGCTCTTCAGAAACCCTCTACAGGGTAGGTATGAGTCATAATCCGCTTGACAGCATCTAACAACAACAACAACAATTCAGTCCATATTCCATCCCACCAAGCCCTGCCTACTCTGGCCAGAGTGATCCAGCAATTAACTCACTCTCCACTTAGGAGTCCTGGTGTGGTGCTGCAGGGTAATGCACTGGATCGTAAGGTTGGTGTGAACTGCAAGGTCAGCAGTTCAATCCCACCAGCCGCTCCTCAGAAACCCTAGACAGGGTGGCTCTGAGTTGGAACCGATTCCATGACTTACTAACAACAGCAATCACTTGATCTCAGGCACACTATAAAAATCTGCAAAGGGATTCATGGCGCAGACGCAGAAGCAGTAATAACACCTCCTGTGCCAACCGTGCACCACCTGGCTGTCAGTCTGTCCTACTGTGATGGTTTGTGTGTTGCTGTGATGTTGGAAGCGATATCATTAATATTTTAAATAACAGAAGTATCACTAATGGTGGACAGAGTCCTTCCTTATCCTTGTAGCACAAAGATGTCCTGCTCCGTAGTTTTTTAAATGTTAGAAAATTTTGTTTTCACATTTTAAGTCTCTGGACATGAGGAAGAAAGGTCTGGCAATCTACTTCATAATGGAAACCCTATATCTCACAATAGGACAGCATCTGATATAGATCTGCATGGGGAGTCCCATGGTTGGAACCAAAACACACAGTGACTGCAGCAATGCATACCAACAGTCCCTCAAGACTGAGCAATGTTGCATTCTGTCATGCATGAAGTTGCCATGAGTCAGAGCCAATTCAGCTGCAGCTAACAACTACCTACCACCTCTATTTCCTCATTTGTAAGCACAGCTCTTGATAATCTCTCTCCCAGAGCTGTTTTGGGAATCAAAGAGCTAATTCAAAGGAATTTTCTAAAAAGTTGATATGAAAGAACAAGAATATCACTTAGAATCCGTAGTGTCTGGACCGTCGTATTGTGTGTTAGTTATTAACACTGAAGTCTTGCTTTTAAGCTCCATGGCTAATTATTACAGCCAATCAGGGTCTCTTAGGAACTGGGAGCATATTCAAGGATTATTATCAGACAGGCTGAGCCAAGTGAGAAGAAAGAACATGATGGAAGGTATTGGCTATGATGCAAATCTGCTCCCAGCCTTTGGCTTGTCTTCAGGCTCATGGTGCCTTGATGCGCAGAGTTAGGGGGAAAAAGTATTTGAATGCAATTGATTTTTATTCATCTTTCTGGTCCCCACATTTGTTCTTTGGGTGTTCATTCCCAGCCCTCATGTCATAAGCTGCCACCTACATATTCTTTTATAGGTTTGAAATTTTTGTTTTTAAATTTGGAGTACCTGAGTGGTTTCAAATGGCTAATGCAGCTGCTAACCAGAAGGTTGGAGGTTCAAGTTCCCCCAAAGGTATCTTGGAAAGAAGGCCTGATGGTCTCCTTCAGAAAAACCAGCCATTGAAAACCATGTGGAGCACACTTCAATTCTGACACATAGTGGTTCCACAGCATTAATTGGCGTTAACTCAACAGCAACTGTTATTTTTTGTGGGTTCCCCCATATTCAGTTCACTCATTCATCTGCTTGGAGCATGAGGTGGGGCTCTAATTTGCTGCTGCTGTTTTCTGGATACCGAGCCAATTGTTGCAGCCCTGTTATTGGGTGGTCTATCATTTCTAGGAGTCCTGGTGTGGCGCTGTAAGATAAGCCCTGGACCACAAGTCAATCTGAACTGCAAGGTCAGAGGTTCAAATTCACCAGCTGCTCCTTGGAAACCCTATACAGGG